ACTAGTTTATGTGTATCTGTGTGTATCAAAATCAAAAGCTCATTTGTTTTTCACTGTACATTTTGAGTCATTGCTTATTATAGTAATCCATATTATATACCTCTTGGGTTCAAAGGAATGCCTTAAATCCTGTGGAAATGAATGAGGCCCACTGACTATAAAAATATGTTGGTTTGCACAGTGAAGACAACTGAGGACTGAAGCTCCTTGGTCGTAGTTTTTCAAATGTACCGTACTTTCTTCACAGTTAAAGAGTTATTTGACTTCAAAATTCACAGTCCACTGAGCTTGCTTGCATGAAACAATCTGCTATGTGACATAAACTGGCATGATATACAGTATCAGGGTGCTTCCAGACAGGGGCTTAATACTGCAAATGGTGTTTTTTTTTTCAGAAATCCCAAATGAATCACTGGCAACAAGCTCGATTTTCTGCAGAAAGGGTAAATCCCAAATGGGAGCAGGCAGTATGAGCTAATATTTTGATACCAGTATCTTTTGGATGCTGCAAAAATCTTACATGCAGTAGGAGTACCAATCCCACACTAAACACAAATCTGTTAGTGCTCTCAGTAGTGTATTTAAATTGTTACTGTACTAACTATATTCATGGCATTAAGCACAAGCTGTTTATCACCTAGAATGTTTTGCTGGTTTCTTGTACTATCGTGTTCCTGGAAGTGTAAGATCCCTAGTGCACTTCAGTTGGGTTTCTGGGCAATTTTGAAACCTCAAAGCATTTGAAATCACTGGCAAGATGCCTGCTGCATATTTACAGTTACACAGCTCTTTTACTTTTAAGGTTCCTCCTTCCTTTTTTCTTCAAGTCTCTAGGCACAACCAAAACAGCGGGTTCTTTCTTTTTGGTATGCTGCATTGTTCTGTGGAAGTGGGTTGCTTGGAGTTCACACTTTGTTTTCCTGTTGTTTTTCTGGGAAGTTGGCTGTGCTGCAAAAGATATGGGACTAATTTGTAGGAAATGGATCTGTTTGGGGAAGCAATAAAAGAGCAACTGCTTACACGCTCCCCAAATGTATGTTTTAATGCATGGCACAACTTAATGCCTGCAGAAAAACCTGCAGTCCGCTGACCTCCATAATTTTATAAAAACTTTTCTTTGACCTTCCTTCCTTACTTTTGCTCTATTATTTTTAAGAATAGAAAATAAATAAAGTGGAGTATTTCCCTTCAGATATATCTTGAAAGTGGCTTGTTACATAGTAACAACAATTAGTGATGAATGGTTGCTACGTTGTGGCTGTCTTCTAAGATCTGAGGGAAAGCAGGTACTGTATCTTCATAGTTGGTTGTGCAACATATGGCTGCTGTAGCCATCACCCATCAGTAGTGATTGCCAATATAATACCTCATCTAAATATTCATTTAAAAGTACCACATACCTCTTTTAAGACTTTTCCACCTCAGAATGTCATTAGGAAGATGATGCATTTGAATGGAACCTCACAATTTAAAAGCACAGACAAATTAACATTCCATACAAGGAGTTTTTGATATGGTACAGTCATTCAGTCATACAATTTGAAACCAGCATTCTGGAGTGCTACATTCTTGGTAGGGTGCTTTTCGTGAACACATACATCAGCCATAAGACAGACAGCTTTTGAATCCTTTTATTGATTGGGAGAGTCACAGAAAGGTAGTAAAATAGTTAATATAGACCCAGTATTCTCAGATAGATAGGTAGATAGATAGATGATAGATAGATAGATAGATGATAGATAGATAGATAGATAGATAGATAGATAGATAGATAGATAGATAGATAGATGATAGATAGATAGATAGATAGATGATAGATATAGATGATAGATAGATAGATAGACAGATAGATAGATGATAGATAGATAGATATAGATGTACTATAAATATCACCAAAATAGAAAACCTGAGTACAAATACACAGACCACCCTCGTACACACACAGGACCAATATGAATCACCCCTCCCATTTCCTAGGTATATAGCACATGACTGAGCCATTACAGATATTGGGTGATCTCTGTGTGTCTGCTACATTCCTATCCATTCCTTTCTCACACCGGGGTACAAAATCCTCAAATAACTTGATAGACATCTACAGATCTCCTAATTCTAGTAGTACCCTGGTGCATTGTGTGTGCACCTCCCACCAGGAGTTTTATACTGAAGGGTGAATTATTTCCAAGTTCCAATTTTAAGTAGGTAAGTTATATTTTCTAAACTGGCAATAAAATTATGACCTAGGGAGGTTAAGGCAACATTTTTCTTACTTTTCATGCCAAGAGTTTTTGTTGTTCAGCTGCCCTGTCATTGATATTGTTATGAAGTTTGTGTGCCATCCCCCAAGCTCTGCCGAGTGGTAGCAAGATTCCAGGGGGTTCCAGGGTTGTGTTTCCATTGAGAAAAAGGACGTTCTAGTGTCTTCAAGAAATATGGTTTATTGTACACTCATTTACACCTGGAGTCTTCAATGGAGGGGGTGCAGAGTATTATACCCCAAGAGTGCCTCTTGCTGCCCCTCTCATAACTTCAGCAGGCTTGAATCCAAAGCAGCAGTCAGTCATGATTCCTGGTCTCTTGGTGCAGCCTTCTCCAGCCAGTGCCAAGGTGGTTCTGCCTACTTCCTCCTTTTTGTTCCCAGAACATCTTTAGATTTCAAAAAGGACACATTTTCCTGTGACATCACACCCCACTATCACCTTGACAACTTGCCAGTTCTCCTGCCTTTGTCCATTCCTGGGGTGGGGTGGGAGAAGGACAGTTCTTTTGCATTTCCAATGGCCCTTAATGGCTCAGTACTTACCTAGCCAGGCGAGGCTGGTTTGCATAAGCTAACCCAGGCATTTCCTGTCTGGCACAGTTTTGCAGCTTTTATTTCCCTTCATATCCCAAATATTCTCTAAATGCTACCATTTTATTCATTTCTACCATTCATTCACAGACCCTGGTATACCCTAGATCAGGGGTCAGCAACTTTTTTCGGCCGTGGGCTGGTCCACCATCCGTCGGACCATGTGGTGGGCCAGACTATATTTTTTGGGGGGAAATGAATGAATTCCTATGCCCCACAAATAACCCAGAGATGCATTTTAAATAAAAGCACACATTCTACTCATGTAAAGTTACAGATAGGTAGCCGTGTTGGTCTGCCATAGTCAAAACAAAACAAAATTAAAAAAAATTCCTTCCAGTAGCACCTTAAAGACCAACTAAGTTAGTTCTTGGTATGAGCTTTCGTGTGCATGCACACTTCTTCAGATACTTATCCAAGAACTAACTTAGTTGGTCTTTAAGGTGCTACTGGAAGGATTTTTTTTTTTTAACTCATGTAAAAACACTCTGATTCCCGGACTGTCCGTGGGCCAAATTGAGAAGGCGATTGGGCGGCATCCGGCCCATAGATCTTAGGTTTCCTACCCCTGCCCTAGATCTATGACAATATAATAACTTAGTGGTGCTTAGTCTGATTTGATAAATCAGTGTCACAGAGGTAGAACACATTTCAGATGTATTCAACTCCTTACACACACATTTTAAACTGTATCATCTGTACACATACTGCCCATTTGCACAAGTGATGCTTACATTTAATTTCACTTTTCATGTTTCCTTCATCTGTAATTCAAATGTAAAACCTGCATTGGCTAGAAATACATTGGATTTATCTCCTATTTTTCATCCTCCATGAACAATATCCACAAGTCAAGTGACGTATTCCAGATTCAAAGATAATCTTCATGCCACAGGTCCAGTTTTACTGCAGACCATTATGTGGTTGCTATTTTGAAAATGGGGAAAATTGGGAGGAAGAGCTCAAGTATGCTATAATGTATGATGACAGTCTCACTTGCTAGCAATTAAATGCAGCAATTATATACATGCCTACTCAGAAATAAAGTTGCACTGAGTTCTGTGAGACTTACTGCAGATAAGTGAGGGAAGGACTGCAACCTAAGACAATTAATTCATAGGCTTAGTTCTGGTAAAGCAGAACTCATGGAAATAATGTTTCCATTTAATTAGATATTTGTATTTATTTCCTCATAAAAATAGGTAGAATAAATAGGTATTAATATTGAAATCATTCATTCCCCCACCTTCATTTGGATAACATGTCCACATACACACGTGCAACAAGGCTGAAACTTTGCATTCCTCAGTTTGCTTGAGGTCTGGCATTACTCATCAGAGAAGAGCTTTCAAAAGCTATGGAATGACTTTGTGCTTTAAAAATGTATGTGCAGAGCAGCAAAAAAGGCACACAGCAGCAATTCATTTTGTGGCTGCGCCACAGAAAAAGAACTGAAGTGATACATTTTTCATCTTGGAGAAGCACATATCCAGCATCTGCTGCTGTTTAATTTACTGTTGTTAACACCTTCAGTGAAAGGATTTGCAATTTTCCCTAAAAACACTCCAATGACTGGAACAACAAGACCCAACCTCTTCAGCTGGAATAAACTATGTACTGTAATTTAGAACAACTTGCAGTACTTAATTTGTATACCTTTTGGCTCTTCAACTTTTCCCCTTGTTTTTTGTGGTGATGAGGCTCGTTAACTAATTGGAAATTGTGTTGGGTTTTTTGTGGTTTTGCCAGAGAGCAAATCATTCTAAGGACCATGAAGTGTATATTGTAGTTTACAGTTATATACAATGTACAAAGTGTTGTTAAGGGTGCTAAGAGTTGTTAGGACATCCCTAGTCTCCACACACAACTACAAATCACCGTTCCCTGGTTGTTAAACAACTCTGGGAACTATAGTTCTGTGAGCGGAATAGCGGTATCCTAACGACTCTCAACACTCTTAACAAACTGCAGTTCCCAGGATTCTTTGGGAGAAACCATGGCTGTTTAAACTGGTATGATACGACTTTAAATGCATAGTGCAGATGGGTCCTTGCTGTCACTGCTGTAGATCAAAACTTTAAAATTCTGCTACAATATCCGTAACTTTTCTCTCAGGTCATTTTGTTGCTTTCTCTTCTCTGGATTTCAGGAAGCATTATCAGTTGTGAGTGAAGACCAGTCTTTATTTGAGTGTGCCTACGGAACTCCCCACCTTTCTAAGGCAGAGATGACAGCCTCCTCTTCCAGTGAATATGGGCAGACATCAAAGATGAGTCCACGTGTTCCCCAGCAGGACTGGTTATCGCAACCTCCAGCCAGAGTCACCATCAAGATGGAATGCAATCCAAATCAAGTTAATGGCTCAAGGTAAAAAAAGTTTAAAGATTCTTTTTTGCATCTTTTGGGCAAGGCTTTGCACTCTGAATCTTCCTGAATCGAAGAATTAGGAGCAGGCCTAGTACTTAGATGATCCCTTCCCTGCTGCCTCCTTTACCAGGTAGACAGGCAAACAACACCAAAACTAGGAGATCCAATGCTTATTTAAATGTGGGTTCTCTACTAAAGGAGGCAGATGGAAGGTGGAATAAATAATATTCCCAAAGTGCTTCATAGAAAAGTGCCTTTATGCAGCTCAAATTATTGTAACATCCTAGTGCTGCTTGCAGAATGGCAAGTGGATTGAGGGAAAACAAATATCAGTAGGCTTAATATTCAGTATATTGAACAAGAGTGCAACTTCTCTTTAGCTTTTTCTTAATTAGCTCCAAATTTTGTGTTTTTGTATTATGAGCCCATTTGTGGCTAACCTCCCATGCAGCTTGTTTTTCAAAATGACTTGCTTTGAAGAAGGTTTGCATCAGCAGAGCACTTTCAAAATGAGGTTGTGAGACCAAGTGTGAGACCACACTTCTGCTTGCCTCACTGACCCCCCACCCCCACCGGGGAAAGCCCACTCTTTACCACTGAATTAAAGCAAACATCAATCAGTTTTTCAGCAGATTGTCGTTTGCTCCAATTCAGTGGTAAAGCGTGGGTTATCTACCCAGGGAAAGCAGTGGGAGAAATGGGAAATGACTTGAACCCGTGCCTAGAAAGCACAACACAAGGAGGAAACCCATTGAACCCATGCTTTGTAGACAAGGGACAAGCAGAAGTGTGGACAAGCCCCATATTTAATGTTGTTCCCATAGTGGGCTAAAGGAGCTGTAGACCATTCAAAATTATATTGCTATCTTTTTGCTTTGGGGCAGAAGCATGCATTTACAAACTTTAAAAAAGAAAAATGCTTTGGTCAATTTCTGCATATTAGAGTTATCCAAATGCAGCTTTAATCCTTGTAAAATTACTTGTGTGCATTGGCTCTCATGTCTGAAACAGACTAATTGCATTGGTATATTTCCAGGTCATTATCTGGGCTGTATGTTGGAATCTTTTGATTCTGCTGCCATGAGATTTTGGCCATAAATGCATCATGTTCTAGGTTACCAAAAGTTCATCAGTAATACAGGCTGATTTCATTTTGAGTGGCCCTCAAATTCCCATGATATTTTAAAATGTGCACTTTACAAATGAAGCTGATATGGAATGTATCGTTGTTGTTGTTGTCTAGTCGTTTAGTCGTGTCCAACTCTTCGTGACCCCATGGACCAGAGCACGCCAGGCACTCCTGTCTTCCACTGCCTCCCGCAGTTTGGTCAAACTCATGCTGGTAGCTTCGAGAACACTGTCCAACCATCTCGTCCTCTGTCGTCCCCTTCTCCTTGTGCCCTCCATCTTTCCCAACATCAGGGTCTTTTCCAGGGAGTCTTCTCTTCTCATGAGGTGGCCAAAGTATTGGAGCCTCAGCTTCACGATCTGTCCTTCCAGTGAGCACTCAGGGCTGATTTCCTTAAGAATGGATAGGTTTGATCTTCTTGCAGTCCATGGGACTCTAAACTGATAAGTCCAGCTCTATGTACCATTAGGTACAGTGAGGCAACCACTTCATGTGATAGACACTTAGTGCCAGCAGGGGCAGCTCCTTTCCCCTAGTGATCCCTCCTGAGCCTTCCCAACAGGTTGCAAGAGTAATTCCTCAGAAGAGGGCAAAGCATCAAAAACCCATAGACCATATTGTGAATTCAAATAAAATAAAATCAGCTCTAACCTCAGTTCTTGGTGTTTGGGAATGGTGGACATATTTGGCCTCATGGCACTGGCAGTTTAGTAATGTAGATTATGCAGATATGGAAAAAAAAGTTCATTAAAGCAAATTCTGTGGATGTTCAGGGGTATGATGCATCTTACGGGCAGCAAAACGTCTTGGTAGGTCCTTAAAGCTAGAAAAATGTGAAGCTCTGGTGTAGCACAGTCTTCAAATATCTGTGAGTTCTTATTTCAAGTAACAAATTCTCCAGACATTCAGAACCTTGGTTTGATGCCAGGTGTCTAATCATGGAGGAACTGTGCTAGTTTTATTCATGCAGCCTTTTGGTCTCAGTGGGCAAGCATAAGCTAGAAATTCAGGTGTTGGAGGGGCCCCCAAGGAAAGCTGTTGGTTCAGGCATTTAATAGACCTACTAATGTTGGAATTGCCTCGAGGAAATGCGATTTGTTCTCAACTAGTGGTCATTCTTCATGTAAGCAAGTTCATCTCCAAGGATAACCTAGTTTAGCTGATATTTTCGTTCAGCTTAGCACAGAAAGTGTGGAATTGTGTTGGTTGGTTGATTCTATTAATATCCTGCTTTTTCTCAAATGATTTCTATGTGGGACCCCCACCCCCATTTTATTATCATAACCATCCTGCGTGGTAGGCTAGACTGGGAGATAACCTAAAGGCACCCTATGAGCTTTGTGTGTGAGTAGAGATTTAAACCTGGACACTAATGCAGGTATAGCCAAAGAGGTACCTTCCGGTTGTTTTGAACTCCAACTTCCATCAATCCACGGTAGCATAACATTAGTGAGGGATGATGGGAGTTATAATCTAGCATCTGGAGGGCATTGCATTGGCTACCCCAGCTTTTACCACTACACCACACTGACTCTTATGTGGTTCACACACACACACACACACACACACACACACACACACACACACTTCTGCTTATGGGCAGCATGCTCTTGTTTTGGCAGCTTCAAACAACATGAGATTTCCTACTCTCAGAAGCAAGCATAGGAGGGCTGTGGCTTCCAGCTCACTCTTTATTTTATGGAACCACAAGCACAATGTGCTTACAAGTTCTCGAAATGAAATACAACTTGGGAAATGTAATCCATTGCCATTATAATAGAATTTCTATGAAATAATAAAAGGAAAACAAGAAAAAATGGATTTAGAAACTTGTAGGCCAACTGGGAAGCTCTTGTGGTTTTGGTATTGGTACCAGCATATCAGATTTCAGAATTCTCCCAGCACCAATATAATTGTAAATTATGTATATAAGGAACATCATTTTGTAACTGCCAAGTTAGAGCTCCCACTCCCTCAGCCCTTTCTTCACTCTAACCTCATACACAAGAAATATTGAAGTGTCTGCTCTAATGGAGAAAGGATCATGTGTAGTAAAACTTAAACCAGCTGTTTCCCTCCATGCAAAAGCAAAGAGCAGCGCTGGTAATATTTATAGCTTGCCTGGCCTCCAGTGAGCCAGATGCTGACTGCCTTAATTTGCTATGATGGCCTTAAGGCACAAAGCAGCTGGAATGTGCAAAGGAATCAAGGGAAGAGGGAAGGGGGATGAGTGGACGGCCTTCACGTAACTTTATTATGGTGTCAAAAACATAGAGTACAATGTACTATATGTGCATCTTGATAAACACCCACCTCTCATTTATCTGAAGTTATTGCTACTTGTCTGTAGCATTTTGATGTGTCAAGTTGGGCAAGGCACTGGTACCATTTTTGACCAGAAACCAGCATACAAGGAAGAATGGATTCTAAAACATGTTGGCCTATAGTTTGGGTCCAGGGTTGTGAATGAATTACAGCTAGGCTTCGCTCTTTGCCAGACACACTTCCCTGTAGACTGCTTTTCTGTTATTATCATCTGTCCCTTGGCTATTCAGAAATCAAACAGATTTTCCTTAAACAAGCCTTTACCTTGTAGGCAGCTTCCTTCCTGATATTTGTAAGCTACCGGCTACCTATATGTTGGGTTCCAGTTGTGCCTACCCTTGTTTAGCTCAGCACTTACAGCATGCATCAAACTTCAGATATGCAAACCCTCTACAATTAGTTGATTCACACTTTTTTCTAGAAACAAAGTAATACCAGACTTCAAATAACAAAATCCACATACTCATGTTGGCAATGGTACAGGGCACATCCGCATTTAAATGGCTAGGTTTCCTTACAATGAGCATGAATGTGGAGAGCCATGCTTTCCTCAACTTCTTCTGTGTCTATTTCAGGGAAATCAGGTCAGTAAAAGAAAACACAAAATAAAGTGTGAATTGGCTCTAATGAGACTGGTATTGCCGTGCGTAAAGTAAAAATAAGTGATTTGGCTGCATGTGAAATGAGGTATATCCATTTTGTCCATCTTTCCCCACAGTTTTCTCTGTCACCACAGCTGAACTAAGTTCTCATGAGTTTCAGAGAACACAGCACAGGTGCTTATTTGTTTGGATGTTGGGGGCAGGGGTTCAGATCTCCCACTGCACATGTGGGGTTCACTTTGCAGTCTCTGGGGCTGGGACCTCTACTAACTTGCCATTATCCTCAGCTGATTATAAAGGTAAAATTCTTGAGCACATGCTTCTGGATTCCAGGGAGAAATGCTAATTTTGTCTTTTCTGTGTTTATATTCAGTTCAGAGACCCACCCTAGCAACTCCCAAGAAGTGTGCCAAATACTGATTGCTACCACTCAATCTTTTAAAGAGTACACTGAAAAGTGTTTATTGTACTTTTAATGCACGATTGCCCATGACAATAGGACAGACTGAAACTGATGATATATACTTCATTTTTGCAGGAAGAAGTTTATATCTTTTACATTCCATTGTTGTTGTTTTTCCAGAGGAAAGAAATAATGTAAATTTGTACAACGATCTAAAGCATATTACTAGCAATGCTTCTCTTTTAAATTATTCAAAATCATTTTTATTTACAAAAACACAGTAACCAGACTGCACTGTCCATTTGGGTCTCATCAACATTATCAGTATTGTTATTTAACCCTTACCCTTTTTCTTGAGAAGGTGGGTGGGTAACAGTGATTTTAATAAATAAATAAATAAAAGTACTGCATGTCTGATTTTTTTTATAAAATGGAATGTTGTCACATTTAATTCTGTTTCGACATATGGCAGCTTCCATGCTTGCAGTTTGCTCTAGAATTAATGTAATCTGCTTTCTTTTTTACTGTGAAAAACCCAAATGATATATACGCTTTACCATTACTCCCATCTTTTTGAAGGCTTGGTTCAAAGCACTCAGTGTATGCATATCTCTGTATTGGTAGGAGTGGTGCATAACTGGAAATTCTTCCTCAAAAAGGTCTGCCATAGTACATCACTTTCAGGTACCAAATATACCAAGACTTTGAGAAGAGCTGAGTGCGTAAACTCTAGCCTGAAGTTTAGGCCAATTTGTCTCCTAACAGCATGCTATTTTTATGCCTGTTTTTATAATGTATTTATGCTGATTTGCAATATTTTTTGTGATTTACTGATTTGTGCACCAGTGGAGAAAGACAGTATGCATATTTTTAGACGTTCAAGAGATGCAACAGTGAGTTTCCATCAGGCCTAAATCATATGCCTGCAAATTCAAACTCCATTTCCATTTCCAAAAATAAAGTAATATGGAGTCAGATCCTCAAGTTTTTACACTTCACTAAAATGCCTCCACCAGCGGAAGGCATTTTAGTATCTAAAGTAGACTCCTGGAACAGCATTGCTTGACAGATAGATGAGCACTTCAGATCAGCATATAGCAAAAATCCTCTTTCACTTGTGAACCTGCTTACTGAAAAATATTATTCAGGAAATCTTAAATTGTTTCCTTAGGAATTCCCCTGACAACTGCAGTGTGGCAAAAGGAGGAAAGATGTCCAGCAACACAGAAAACGTTGGCATGAACTATGGAAGCTATATGGAAGAAAAGCACATCCCACCACCAAACATGACCACCAATGAACGGAGAGTTATTGTCCCAGCAGGTGAGAAGACAGATGTTTTTAAATAACCTTTTTAAACTGGGCCCACCCAGTCATTAAACACAGTCGGCCATTCAGCTTAAACACCTTTAGTTCCACACTGATTTCAGCAGGAGCCTGGTGTACATACTTAGGAATATATCAGTTGCAGCTTGCCCGGTGAGGTGGCACTGCAGCGCAAGCTTCCTGGCCATTTCATTGGTTGTAGGGGCGTTGTTGTACCAAGATGGGAAGCGAGAAGCTGTTGAAGAGATGTCAGAGAATTCCAGTGAAAACAGAAAAGGAAGCAGAAATTCATGCAGTTTGCTTGTTCATCCTGCAGTCTAGAATGGAAATCACTCAAGCCAATATGATTGGTATTCATTCACATAGGTGTGTTTCAAAGTCTGTAAGTAATATGTAATTATAGTAATTACTTTTTTACATTGTTTTGATGCTTCATTTACACTGAAATCAATGTAAGTCACAAAAATCATGTAAATAGGTAATGTATGTAACTTGAATTAAATAGTGGACAGTGAAGCAAATAGCATAATATTTGGCAGAAACTGAACTGCAGCAGAATGGAAACAGCACTGATTGTGATGAATACAGTTTGGAAGGGAAATCGCTGCCTTCTGACATCCCTATAAAGGGTACACTAATCAAGTTATGGATCTCTGTGTGTGATCCAGCCCACAACTAAGCATTTCTAGTCTTCTGTAGGGTTTTGTGAGAATAGGCAGACCACGCAAGCCTTATGGCAGAAGGAAAGAGACATGAACTGCCAGTTGGAATGAACTGAAGTTATTCCCTGGAGCTCTTAAGGATATCAACACCCCATCGAGTCCAGATATATATCAACTGAATTCAAGCCTCCATAACAGCAATTTTGCATTTTCATAAACAGGCAATTACATTTCTGATAAGTACAATATAAATTATTAGCTATACTGTGGTCAATTGTATCTTTTGTGGTAGAGCCCCTAAATATAAAACAGTAATTAGTATACACACATATACCTGCTGGCAAAAGATGTACAAGTAAATGATAATCTAGGATGGCTAGTGTGTTAGATATGGATGGAGGAACTAGTGCTCTGTTGAATTTTTGTTGAATTTCTGGCATAAAAGTAGCTGTTCCAGCTGATTATCACTGCTGGTAAACCTTGAACATCAAATGGGGTTGTTGATTCCTCTGTTTTATGCACATTTTGGAGAGTCAAAAACAATCATAATATTCCCTTATCACATGTGGTTTACATTGGTATATGGGCTAATCTTTAATGAAAAGAAGATTGGCCTTTACTCATGCTACTCTAAAAGGAATATATATTCTACTTCTGCTGCATTGCTTAACTTTCCCACAGTTATATAGTGACATGAATCTATAGGAAAATTAGATGTGGCTAAAATGACAAGTTGAAATTCTGTCAGTTATTTGTCAAGCTACACACTTGTTGCATAATCTTCTACACATACTCAGATAATGCTTTGCTAACAAACTGATTCAGTGGATGATAAAAATGTTCTGAAACAAGCCACAAAGCAGCAGCACTTCCCAAGCAATCTGGTCCAAAAATGGGCCATTGATACATTTCCCAGTCTCTGAACCGTGAGTGATCATAAATAGCTTTCTTCTATCCACATCTGTCTTAAATACATTTGGAAATTGATGTAAATGTTGTTCAGGGAGCAAGAGGTCTGTAGGCATAAACAGCTGTTTGCTGAGCTGCACAAGAAATATTTGAGCAAAGTCCTGCTATCTGACTGCCAGATGTTTTTCATTTATACACAGCCATTACAGATTGCAGGATGATGTGGCAAAGAAAAAAGAAAAAGGGGTGGGGGAGCGAGATTAATAGTTCACAGCTAAGCTGGGTCACTGTGCAGGGCCTGGTGTTCATATGTCTTGCTGGACCACTTCCATGAATTAGAAGAGAGTGACACTGAATTACTGTGGTTGCACTCGTGCCTGCAGAATTGGTTTCAGTGGAGGGCATTGGGTGACTATACCTCATTCTCTGGCTGTTAAGCTGAGGGGTACAGGAGAGCATCAATTCTGTCCCGTGGGGCTCAATATCTGCATGAAGCCATTGGGAGCAGTCAGTAGAGGATTTGGGGTGTGGTATCATCACAAGTCTGATGACACCCAGCTCTGTTTCTCTGTATCGCTCAATCAGGTGTGGCCATGCTTGGACACAGTGGTGGGCTGAATGAGGGCTATTGAGTTGAAGCTGAATCATAACAAGCTGGGTGTTCTAGGAGTAGGTGGCTTCCATGCACTCGAATCAAGCAGTTTACCTGTTCTGGACAAGGTTGCATTCTTCTTTAAAGAACAGGGGTGTAGTTGGTGCTGTTCATTGAGCAGTGGTTGACACTGGGGTGAGGGGGGCTTGCTTGCAAAGGTCAGAAGATGATAGGCTATGCTCCAGTGTCTGCACAGACTTAAGACCAAGTTCGCCAGGCTTGATATTCAGCATGAAATGGATGACAGCCTTTTTGAGCTGTCAGACGAAACTGATGAGACCAACAAGGTGTGGGGTGGTTCTAAGACACAGAAAGGTGGGAACCTGACAAGCCCATTAGATAAGCAGGGGAACTGGTGAATATATCTTTAAAAGAAGGAATGCAGTAGCGGAGGATTGGGCATCTGCTTTGGAACTAGTGGAGGCGAAAACTGAAGTCATTTTGGATCAAATTGTGGGGGGAATCAGTCTGAATTGCAGTTCTAAGAATTGTGATGGAAGACCTGTTAATGGCTTGGGATCAGTAGTCAAGAGATCAAGGGTAGAAAGTGTGCAAAAGAGGGAGCATCCTGACAATTTGCTTTCTGCAGGAGGACCACCAGCAACCAAACCCTGAATTCCATTTACTGTAGGGTGTGTGGACAGGAAAACAGCTGTGCACACCCAGTTCCTCAAAATTGAGAGGAGTGACTATTCCAATGACTTGGAAACATCCCTACATATTTGATGCTTCCCTGTATGACCTGAATGGCAGATTCCTCCTAGCCAAAGGTTCCAATGGTTCTTAGACATCATTATTGGAGTGCTTCTATGCTCCTTACACAGGACAGTATGGCTTCTTTCAAACTTTTTTTGGACACTTGGCAAAACTTCAAAACCTATGGGTCAATATGATAGCTACTTTTTGAGGTCATGTCCTGTGGGTGTTGTTTTCTGCCATTTTTTTTTATTTTTTACTATTGAACCACAGGTCACATTTTCAGCCACTTTTCAGGGCCTCCTGAAAATATATTTATTCATCTAGATCTTTGTGATTTCCTGATTCCTGGCTATTGAGAACTGTTCTGGAAACTAGTTTATGGTTGCATTTTAATTTGTGTTTATTAAATTGTTAGCTTACTGGTTTTGCTTATTGGTTCTCTTTTAAGGTTGTAATCTGCCTTGCAATCAATATGGAAAGTGGCTTAACAATAAATAAATGCAATTTATAAATAATTAATAAATAAATGGCATACCTTGACTAAAGAGTACAAAGGGCTACAGTGGAAAGGGTAGTTAGTTCCACTTTAGCATAATGTCTTCTCACAATAAGCACTATTCAAGATACATGATGAGAAAAATGAATGCTCAGGCATGATTTTGAAAGTGTGCCAACCACTCTGCCTCAGGCATTAGGTGTAATTTACATCCAACTGAATTCAGTAAAAGAGTTTCCATTGAGTTCAATGGGGATAGATGGCACACATCCAATTTTTGCCTAAGTTTTGGTTCCTTTTGATGGAATAAACAGATTCCTGGGATGAACACACTGTGCCAGAATAATTAATACTGGCTTGTATTCAGTGTAGCACTAAGTAACGCATTCCGATGGTGCAAAGATTTATGCTTATACACAAAATTTTACCCCCCTTTCCTCTCCCCAGGTACCCCCTAAATCTCCTCTGGGTTCCCCCCCCCCAATCATCCACATCAGATTTGGGAAGGGTAACAGAATGTGCATGGGGAGGGGAGGGGTGAAATCATAAACCCTTGTGCTAATGGAACAATTGCATTGGATGCTACCCATTGTTCAGTAGTGCATTTGCTATGGGGGAGAAGCTCAGTCAATTTTGTAGCAGAACTCATTCTCCATAACATTAACACAATGAAACTTTCTGCTTTTCAAAACAGATCCCACATTATGGAGCACAGACCACGTACGCCAGTGGTTGGAATGGGCAGTCAAAGAATATGGCCTGCCAGATGTGGACATTGTGCTGTTTCAGAATATTGATGGGAAGGAATTGTGTAAGATGACCAAAGATGACTTCCAGAGGCTAACACCAAGCTATAATGCAGACATTCTTCTCTCACACTTACACTACCTCAGAGAGAGTAAGAACCTTTTCTTTGTTGATGGCTTCCCCCCCCCCAAAAAAAACACGTTTTGTCCCCTGCAATTTCTACTGTAATGCTTATTTCAGATTTCTCTTTCAATTGCTATGCTCACAGAGTTCTTTAAGCAGACTTCAAATCAGGGAAATTTTAACCATTTTAGATATTACAAGAAAACCAAAAATCAGTTCAAACATAATCTATATTAAAAAATTGTAATGTTTTTTCTGGTCACATGCATTTCCTTTTTTCCATTACTGAAATGATCATTCTAAATGAGATTATATACATAATAATTTGAAAAGAAATTCCAGGCATGATTTTAAATGTGTGTGCACAAAGGAGCAGTTTATAAGACTCTCGCAGATATAGGGCTTGTATGATGTTAGGGTGAACAAAAGAGTCCCCTGAATATAGATAAAATTAAACTTATAAGCAGCATTCAGAGATGAGAGGAGGAGAAAGCGAATTTGTTATCTGTGGTATAGACAATGTTGCATAACTGAATAATAAAATGTCAAAGAACAATTTCTGTTTTTAAAAATCAGGCAGTGCAACACCAATATGACATTGTTTTTCACAGGCTTTCTAGTTGTCAGTATTTTCTACAATATTCTTAATTAAAGCCCTGCTTCCAGCATTATTATAAACCCACTCCCACAAAGAGCAGAATGAATTGATGCTAGACTGACCAATAAACAATCCTATCAGGATAAAAGAAAATGGTTATTAAGATAATTCTGAATATATATTTTTAAAATTTTGGTGTTGCTTTTTGTTTTGTAGCTCCTCTTCCACATTTGACTTCAGATGATGTTGATAAGGCCTTACAAAACTCTCCACGGTTAATGCATGCTAGAAATACAGGTAATGCTGTCACGACTCCCCTCCCTATAGGCCATTTTTTTAAAGTTAAGGTTATCTATGTGACAAATGCATGCTAACTGTAAATTAAGAAAGAAAGGCAGGGTTTAAGAGTGTAATATGCTTCCTAGCATTGGTGGGAATTGCTTTCTCTCTCTCTTGCTCACACACACACACACACACACACACACACACACAGAGAGACACAAGCCATACACAGATAAACCATTTAGGCTCAGATACAGTAATTGTTTTGGATGAAGCTCTTCATGAGTTCTCTTAGAAGGAAATATGGCCTCTGAGAAAGAGAATATTCATGTACCTACACCCTTTTTTATGTGCATGAACACACACATGCAAGCACTCAGATAATACTCTCGCTATTGCTTCTCATCCCAAGAGTGAAACATAAAAAAGAAGAAGAGCAGGCTGTGCCATTTCCTGTGGGAGATTGTATGTTTGGTCTCCCTTGCTTGGAAAAAAAGCCCCCATATAAAAGTAGCCTGTTAGAGATAAGAGAGCACTAGCCTAGTCTGCTCCCTAATCTTCAAATTTTGTATACGGGAGATCTCTATAAATCTATCACGCAATGGAACATCTTAATGAGAGAAGAGTGAAACAGGTCGTCTGAACAAACAGCCATGGTGTACCTCTCAAGCACTTTTGAAAGCATAGCCTGTATCCAAGTAGAGCATAATTTATATGTAGTGATCTGCATTCAGTGTCTTTAATCGACTGATGCAGGTCTGTGGGTTTGCTGTAGCAGGAGCAAATGTGTGTTGTATTGAGCTGCCCATCCGAAAGAGGGCTCTCTTGAATGTGGCACACCATGTACAGAATGCCCTTCTTAGGGTGCCCACGTTGCACTGCCATTATTTCAGAGCCAGGTGAAAGTTGTTGTTTTTTAATTCTCCCAGGCCTTCTATGTATTTTCAGGCATTTGTGCCACTGTTAATTTTTGGAGGTTTTGGCTCCCTCGTTTGTTATTTACTGATGCATTTTTGTTGCATTGATGCTGTTTTTGTTGATTTTTTTAATGATAAATCATTTTTTTGTAGCTGATTGATGGCCTCCCTGATAGCATCACTCCTGAAGGTGCAAGATATAGATGTTAAAATAAAATTATCTTGCAAGAAACACTGAACTCCTCAATTGCCTATATCCCAAAGGATATAATGGAAGGAAAGTACAGGGAATCTGCTACACAGGAAGCTGCCTTATAGAGACTCAGACCAGTGGTCCACCCAGCTCAGTGTTGTATACGCTGATGGGAGCAGCAGCTTCCCAGGGTTTCATATAATAAGTATTTCCCAAGCCTGCCTGGATTGAACCTGCGACCTTCTGCATGCAAAGCAGATACTCTGCCACTGAGCTATGGCCCTTCAATGAGCTATGGCACCACTCTGTTCCCAAACCATGCTCATACTGATGTAAGGACAGGGAACAAGCACCAGGGAAGCAGCCCATCTCCCCACTCTTGCAGAAGACCAAGAAGCATAGAAGGAATAAGTGTTAGTCCTTCACCTTCTGTTCTCTTATCACTTGTATGCCTCATATAGAGGCATCTTGTGCCAATTTTGTGGTTTGAGTTAGGTAGCAGGCCACAATTTGGCCAGGATCTACTTTGTAGCTCAGCAGATCAGGTTATAACTTGGAGGGAAAGAAACTTCCCATTGGTTCTCTGTTTCTAGAAGTAAATTTGGTTCGTATGTGGGTTATAGGTAAGGAAACTAAAATCAAGCTCTTGAAATTGTGAAATTGTGCATCAGAAGACAATGTAGATGTATGAAATTTCTGTATCTTTAATCTGATTAAATAAAAGTTTGGGATATCTCATTATCATGCCTGGGGGTTTTGATGACTTATAGTGACCAGAAATAACAACTCTATAAAGAATAGAAAGTTTATTATTCTCTCTCGACAATGTTAGAAACTAATAGGGATTTTTCACTGTGATATTGTTCTTGTTACATCTGTATCTTCCCTATCTTCCACAATGGAACTCAAGGCAATGTACTTAGGGTTTCCCGAAGGTCTCACATCTAGGCACTAATTAATATGCTTGATACATTTTAAATAAGTTGATATCACAATCCCCCTCTTTTGCTGTACACAAATATCTCCTTAGAACAGACATAATGTGCCGTTCACCTCACTGTATCTTTTTTTAGCACTCAGCTACACATACCCCTGATTTTTTAAAGTAATATGGGAAGCAAGCCCTGTTGTGCACTGCTGTTCTGTACTTATGTTTTGTTATTAAATTTGTTGTTTTGTGGTTTTATTTTATAATTATAATTGCACACTGTACTTATTTTAATTGTGATATATTTGTAACCTGCCCTTAGGACCATTTGACGAAGGGTGGGCTATGAGAACATATACATATACATATGGATTTTCCAGTATCCCTCTTTGTTCATTTTATTTATTCAGTTTATAGCTCACTTTTCCTCCAAAAAGTTCTGAGTACTGTATGTGATTCTTTCCCACTCCTCCTTTTTCATTTGAATCTGGGTCTCCATGGTCCTAGTCCAAAACTGAAACCACTACACTGTACATTCTACGTGTAAAAGGAATAGTAAGGAGCTTGTATGTTCCTTCCAACTCTACTTTCTTGTTGTTCACCTATTAGAATATTAATTTATCCAAGTCCATTTGACCCTGAAAAAAGTTTACCTTGGGTACAGCAGTTGTATGTATTAAGTGATGGTTCTGTGGCTATGTATGGCTTACCAGGCTTCCTCATTCTTCCTGAGAATAACCAGGTCATAGTGAGTTACTTCATGCAATAACTAGGGATATGCAGGGTGGGGAAAATAATTGATATGCCTGATAAACCTAACACTGACTTCCACAAAGACCGAATAAAAAACAAAATAAAAAAGCTTCTAATTAAATCAGTTGAAATGTTACTACAGTGCCTTCTAATTGGAAAATATGAATATTTTTCTTTCAATGTACTGTCCTGATTTCAGCTGAATACCTGATAGATCAGATGCTTTATCATAGTCCAACTCCAATGCACATATAGTCATAAGTTTTGTTCCAAAACATATTGAAATGCAAAGTTATCCTTATTTCCATTTTCTTCTTGTATCTAGGAGGTGCAGCTTTTATCTTCCCGAACACTTCAGTTTACCCTGAAACTGCACAAAGAATTACCACCAGGCCAGGTATGCAAATACACCGCCCTATTTTCTCTGTCTGTCTGTCTGTCTGTCTGTCTGTCTGTCTGTCTTTCTCTCTTTTTAAAGTGCTACAGTCTGGCTGGCTGTTCTTCCTATCCTGCTCTTTCCTCGTACACAGAAAACTAGTACTAGATATAAGACATATATAATTGTATAGAAGATGCCTCAATTATACGTGTTTGGGCATCTGATTGAGCATGCAAATGCTGTTCTCTGTGGACAGGAGGCAGAGGTGCATAAACAAACCCCATCCCTGGTGTCTCCATGCATGTTGGCCACCCATGGTCAGTTTTTATTAAACAGGGAGGTTCTGCAGGAGTTGCTTACTCACATGAGTAGAATGTCTGGCCCAATCAGGGACTGGTTCCCAATCATGCAGGAGGTTTTATTTTAAGGTTTGGGTTAAAATAGCCACAGGTGTTGGATAGCCCAAGGCCATGAAAACGCTAGACAGGAATAGAAGGAGAACGTGTTTTAGCACCGTTTGTAAACTTTTGTGCAAGTGCTGGGGGAGGGGATCCATCTCCAATCCAGCAAGTGCTATTATACTACCAACCTTACTGTATGCTTGTGAAACATGGACCACTTATAAACACCATCTCCAACTCCTTGAAAGATTCCATCAATGGTGTCTCAGAAAAATTTTACATATCGCTTGGGAAGAAGACTTTGGATTTGATATCCCACTTTATCACTATCTGAAGGAATCTCAAAGCAGCTAACAATCTCCTTTCCCTTCTTCCCCTACAACAAACACTCTGTGAGGTGAGTGGGGCTGAGAGACTTCAAAGAAGTGTGACTTCTGTCACCCAGCAGCTGCATGTGAAGGAACAGAGACGCAAACCCGGTTCACCAGATTACGAGACTACCGCTCTTAAACACTACACCACACTGGCTCTCTAAGACAGGTGAACTAATGCCAGAGTAGTGAAAGAAGCAAAAAATCACCAGTGTCGAAGCAGTGATTCTTCAATATCAACTTCATTGGACTGGTCATGTTGTGCGGATGCCTGATTATTGTCTTCCAAAGCAACTACTCTATTCTGAACTTAGAAATGGAAAACATAATGCTGGTGGTCAACAAAAGAGGTTTAAAGTCTCTCTCAAAGCAAATATTTTAAAATGTAGTGTAAACACTGGCAATTGAGAAACACTGGTCTGTGAGCGCTCCAATTGGATTTTCTTTACCAAAGGTGTCATGGACTTTGAAGATGCTCAAATTCAGGGCGAAAAGGAGAAACGTGGTAAGAGGAAGGCACGCTTGGCAAACCTTCATCTTGATCAGCTCCTGCCCGGAACCCTATGTCCCCACTGTGGAAGGACGTGTAGATCCAGAATTGGCCTCCACAGTCACTTACGGACTCATTGTTAACACTGTGTTCATGGAAAACAATCTTACTCGGCTATGAGTGATTGCCAAAGAAGAAGAATGTATTTAGTTGCTGCAAGAAATTATACCATGCAAATCTATACATGTTTATAATGTAGGAAAGGAAGAAAAGATTCATAGTTGTCTATCTGGTGGCAATTGCATGTTTTTAATTCATAACTGTGAGCAAGATGTGTGTGCACATAAAGAATTTTGAAGCTTCTTAAGAATAGCATGGGAGCCAACTCCTAGGGGCTGAGAGGGCTTTGCCCCCCCCCCAATAATAGGGAATGGGCATTGCCATTCAAATGGTGTGCATGCACCATGTCATGTGATTATGTGGGGGAGGCCTTACCTGCCCCCCCCCCAGTATTTCATTCAAGGTGGCACCCCTGGGACATAGATACAGAGCCTGCAGCTCCCTAAATATTGATACCCATGCTGGCTGGGACTTCTGGAAATTAGAATTGGAATCCAACAACATCTGGAGGGCCACTGGTTCCGCATATGAAATTATTTTGCAGAGTGGCGATTAGACAGATCACTGCAGGAGTGATTTTGATTTTAGATTTCCTGCAGTGCAGCTATCAACCATGTTGAATAGTGTGTCATCAGAAAAATTACTTATTTCAGAAACAATCATACATGGAGAAATTTGACCTTTGATAGTTATTTCTAGCTCACATATATTTGAGATAATTTCTTTTTTACACAGATATACCTTATGAACAGGCCAGGAGGTCAGCCTGGACAAGTCACAGTCATCCTGCTCCCCAGTCAAAAGGTAAAGTATCTTCTTTTTCTTTCATAACAGATAACATTAGCTGGAAATGCCATAGCTGCTTCAGAAGAATTTGATTCTGACAATTAAATTTCAGGTGCAAACCAGCTTATTGAAGACCTTATATAAACAGGTTCAAATCATAGTTCATTTGTTGCTGTTTGGACTTTGGCCTGATTAGAGAATTAAATATCCATAGCAATTATGAGGATCCTTTCTTTAGGATCTAGAGTATAATATGTAACTGTGAACAGGGATGCGATTTCATATACTATACCTGGGTATTTACTTCACCTGATCCTGGTCCGCACCTTCCATGACTTTGCAGCTGTTTCATTTTAGTATACTATGACTTCAGAAAACTTCATAGTTGTTTTGTATCATATTATGTGAGGTGTGTGTGTGTGTGTGTGAGAGAGAGAGAGAGAGAGAGAGAGAGAGAGAGAGAGCGCATCTGAAATGCTGAGTAGGGCAAAAGCGGGGACAAGTTGGATAGTTGGAGGGGTGGGGAAGTCAATAGGGAATGCAATTACAAAACATTGGGATTTCAGCTTTCTTGATAGGGACTCAGGCTGTACAAACAAAAGCCACTCATTGCCTTGATCTGGGCATTCAGTTGTGTTTTTCCCCCCTAGCAGCTCAAGCATCATCTTCAACAGTGCCCAAAACAGAAGACCAGCGCCCTCAGTTAGGTATGTCTACCTGCAGCTATTCCCCATTGGTAGAAATCCCCTAAAGGGGCCATTTTGGGGGTGTGGGGAGGGATGGGACAGGGCAAAAAGAGACTTATACCTATTCCAAACCACTTTCAGCTCAGTCACATGACCTAGCACACAGTATAGGGCAAACTCCTCCAAGTTCCATCCGAACATAGTTTAGAATAGGGGTAACTTGAGCTTTCTTATAAGTTACACCAACTTTCTTTAGATAAGATTGTTCTGCCAGGTGCAGCTCTATCAATCATAGGCAGTCAACATAATTCAAGATTAGTTTTGCATTGTAATATAGTTTAAAATAAAGATCTGTGTAGCATTTATTTATTTTAATTAATATAAAATCCCTTATTTTTGCAAAATATGCCAAAGCTGTTTAACCAGATTCTGATTATACACATTACTGTATAACCTATATTTGAAAAAGCTTTCTTAATATCTTTACAGCATTTTGGTTTATGTCTCTCTCTTTTTAACCTTTCTCTAGATCCCTACCAAATTCTTGGCCCAACCAGCAGCCGTCTTGCAAATCCAGGTAGGAAAAATAGTACTGCATTGGGATGTTTATCTAGAAAATTCATATAGCAAAGCCCATGGAAATTTATTGCACACTTAACACCAGCGTGGTAGAAATACATCAGGGATGTGAAACCTTTGGCCTTCAGATGCTGTTGGACTCCAACTCCCATCAGTCAATTGCAAAGGATGATGGGAGGTATAGGCAAGCAACATCTGGAAGGCTACAGACTCTACATTCCTAAAACAGATATTGTATTCGTCCTTCTTTCCTTTTTAAACACCTTTAGATCCTCACAACATATTACATCATCGTAGAAACATAACATATTGTTACTGATAGATGAAGTTGGCATTGTCAAAATCAGGAGTGACCTTAATTAAGTGGCTAACAGGAGCAAATAGGGAAATAGAGGCATCTAAGAAGGTCATCACCAAAAACTAACCCATCCATGTCACTGATTGAAAGAGGTTTGCAACATAACATGTTGGCTCCTGCTTGAGAAAAAGAAGTAGACTCATATAAGCAGTAACTTGGTGCCTTAGATCATTAAAAGCTAATGACCTCAACCAAACCTAATTGTATCTTGCACTGGTAAGAGATGCTAACCAGCCCTAACACTATTGCCATTATTATTATTATTATTATTATTATTATTATTATTATTATTATACTATTAAATCCAGTGATTGGCTGTTTTAATCTTACTGTGCAAAATTTGTTCAGATTTCTCTGGTCTTCATAAGTAAAGAAAACAGTATATTATAACATGGCCTACAGAACCTGATTAAATGTTCCAGTTTGATTTTGGTAGATAAGCAGTCCTTCAAATACTTTCTCACCAGAATCTGTCACAGCTGAAAATACAAAGCTAAATGTTTTCCATCCATTACCCATTACTCAATTCATTTTCCCTATTTTTCCTCCTGCCCACAGGAAGTGGGCAGATACAGCTATGGCAGTTCTTGCTGGAGCTTCTGTCAGATAGCTCCAATTCCAATTGTATCACCTGGGAGGGCACAAATGGAGAGTTCAAGATGACTGACCCTGATGAAGTAGCCCGACGCTGGGGGGAGAGGAAGAGCAAACCCAACATGAACTATGACAAGCTCAGCCGTGCTCTCCGTTACTACTACGACAAAAATATAATGACTAAAGTCCATGGTAAGCGTTACGCCTACAAGTTTGACTTCCATGGAATTGCTCAAGCTCTCCAGCCACATCCTCCAGAATCATCCATGTACAAATATCCATCAGACCTGCCCTACATGAGCTCCTACCATGCACATCCCCAGAAAATGAACTTCGTTGCTCCCCATGCTCCAGCCTTGCCTGTCACTTCCTCCAACTTTTTTGCCGGACCCACTCCATACTGGAATTCACCAGCTGGAAGTATCTATCCTAACACTAGGCTCCCGGCCACCCACATGCCTTCTCACCTTGGCACTTACTACTAAAGGAAGAAACAAAACGATAAGAGGACATTTCTCCAAGGAATACAATGAATTTTATTGGAGGATATGAGCAAAAAGTGCCTAAAAGACATGACAAGGTTGACTGGGACCGAAAAATGCCATATACAAATGCTTTTTTTAAAAAAAAAGGATTACAGGAGAGTATTAAAGAAATTTAAAGATGCTATTATGTAAATTGTATGTTGACATTGAACTTACACATCAAACAATGAAATACTGTTCTAGGTAGAAAAGTATCTAATGACAAAGTATAAAATGGGTTTCAGGAAAAGTTTATAAGCTTTTACGTCACGATTGATATGCTAATGCATATTGGGACTCTACTACAGCAATATAAGGATAATTCTGTTACAGACTAGGATACTACCTGCATTTTTTAAAAAAAAAACAAAACAAAGACAAACCTACAGAACAGTGTCATAAATATTTGTTTCTCAGTGCAGCGGTTTCAGCTGGGATGAACTTAAATACATTCCATTATTAAGAGGGAGGGATCAGCTATTTCAAAACTGTGAAGACAATGCAAGCTTTACGATTCCTTGACAGTGTTAAAGAGCTCTGAGCCAAATATTGGGACTGAGAATGTGCTGAAGGGCAAGTGTGTGATTGTAGACAAAAGGGCACAACACACCAGGAAGTCCTCTAGTGCAAGTTCTACTAAAATGAACTGGACCTGCACAAGAGCCCCTGGGTCGGATACATGAAGTGGAAAGGGGTAAGAGAAGGAAAGAGTCATAAGAGTGAAGGAGAAGACATTTCCTGTAGATATAGGGGAAACTGAAAACTGGACAGTGTTTGAACTATGAAGAATTACTTGTTTGGACTTGAGAAATATTCTGTTGACTATTATGCCATTTCCAGTATTATCAAAGAAAAGACTTGATTTTGTTATTAAGTCTAAGAAGGGGGAAGTTGTAGTATCAGAGTATGCATCTCTTTATAAAAATGTAAAACTGGAATTGTCTGATATTTAAAAGTGACGCTTAGGACCTCATTCTTCTAAAGGGAATTTGTTTTCTACTGGTTGAAGGTAAGAGACAATCCCCAGTTGCCAAAGTCTGAAATCATATAGATATTTTTGTTAGGCAGCGCCAGTTTTTCTTTTCCGAGTCGCGAACGCTGTGCGTTTGTCAGAATGAAATATACAAGTCAACGTTATTTTTTTTTCCTTTTTATATAATAATTATATAACTTATGCATTTATACACTACGAGTTGATCTCGGCCAACCAAAGACACAGAAAGGGACAATCAGAAATATTGTGGCCTTGAATTTTAACTCTGTATGCTTCATGTTTACATTATGAACTTAACTAGTACTTAGAAAGCAGAATGTATGTAATAAAATAAGCTTGGCCTAGCATGGCAATTCAGATTGACACCGTAGTCTGCATTTTTGTGACTTTGGGGCCAGCTGTGTTTTGTTCAAAATGCCATTTCCTTTTTTATTATCTTCAAAAGTGTTATAAATGTGGGCAGTCTTGGAAAAGCTAAATACATTCACATACTAAAGGATAAGGAAAAGGGGGCACATTACCGTATCGGCCTGAATATAAGCCTCAATTTCCCCCCCAAATTCTGACTGTGAAAAGTTAAAGTGCATCTTAAATCCACGACCTTACAAAAATTGGCTCCTTTCGGGCTGCTCGTCCCTCCGCCGCCCGCCTCTTGCAAGATCAGGCACAGGAGCCGCGGTTGAGAGAGATGCTGTGCTGCGCTGGGCCTCTCCCAACCACGGCTCCTATGCTGATCTTGCGAGCGGCAGAGGTGGCAGAGGAGGAACAAGCAGCCCGAAAGCAGTCCTTTCAGGCTGCTTGTTCTTCCTCCTCCGCTGCTGCCACCACCAGGTTAGTGGTGTGGTGAACTGGCTTATAGCCAAGACAATAAGTTTTCCCAGTTTTTTGTGCTAAAATTAGGTGTCTCGGCTTATATTTGGGTCGGCTTATACGTGAGTATATACAGTAATTTGCTTGTGGAAAAGAGATATATACCAGCACATTCATTTTTGGAAGTGGAGTTCTAAAGATCCTCTTGTGTCTCCCTCCTTCAGACTGCTTTGTTCCCTTTTGGAGTCCTATAAAATAACTTTATGCCTCTCCTCCTGCCATATTCATGGCCAGAGTTCCATTTCATTCTGCTGCCATGGCTCTAGCCTTGCAACGGGTTCCTCCCTCTGCCAAGCATGCAAGCTGCCATAGCCATGTGTTATATGGAGTTTCTAAGAGCCCATATAGAGTCCTTTTGTAGGTTCTCTATCGGTAGGAGAAAATAACAGGGGCCAACCAGAGAATATTGAGAAGCAAAGCAGCTAGTAAGCATGATCTTTATTAAACTGTTGGAACAGGGTCCCCTGCTCACCCCAAGCAGGGAGGGTGAAGAGGAACCCCAAACATTGGTGTGCATGCTCATATATAAAGGTAAAGGTACCCCTGCCCGTACGGGCCAGTCGTGACCGACTCTAGGGTTGCGCGCTCATCTCGCTCAAGAGGCCGGGAGCCGGCGCCGTCCGAAGACACTTCCGGGTCACGTGGCCAGCGTGACATCGCTGCTCTGGCGAGCCAGAGCCGCACACGGAAACGCCGTTTACCTTCCCGCTAGAAAGCGGTCCCTATTTATCTACTTGCACCCGGGGATGCTTTCGAACTGCTAGGTTGGCAGGCGCTGGGACCGAGCAACGGGAGCGCACCCCGCCGCAGGGATTCGAACCACCGACCATGCGATCGGCAAGCCCTAGGTGCTGAGGCTTTTACCCACAGCGCCACCTGCGTCCCTATCCATTCCAGAAGTCTGTTTCAAAACCAAAGTGTTCCAAAACCAAGGCGCGCTTTCCCATAGAAAGTAATGCAAAATGGATTAATCCGTTCCAGACTTTTAAAAACAACAGCAGTTTAACATACATTTTACTTTCTAATGAGACCATTGATCCATAAAATGAAAGTAATAATCAATGTACAGTGGTGCCCCGCAAGACGAATGCCTCGGAAGACGAAAAACCCGCTAGACGAAAGGGTTTTCCGTTTTTCGATGCGATTCGCAAGATTTTCCTTATGGGCTTGCCTCACAAGACGGAAACGTATTGCGGGTCTTGCGATTTTTTTTGCTCCCCCCCCTTTTTCTAAGCCGCTAAGCCGCTAATAGCCTTTTAGCCGCTAAGCCGCTAAGCCTTTAATAGCCACTAAGATGCGCACCCCGCCGCAGGGATTCGAACCACCGACCTTACGATCAGCAAGTCCTAGGCACTGAGATTTAACCCACAGCGCCACCCGCATCCCTTTGCTCATATATAGACATTTGAAAATTGCCTCCCCTGTAGCTCAAGATCACCATCATCTTAGAATTCCTATAACACGTACCATTAGACATCTTCTGTCAGACCTTGTAGAATGGGCAGCTGGAAGATGCATCAAGCTGAACACAGAAACAGGGACTGCAGGGTAAAGGTAAGAGAGTTGAGGAAAAGCTTTGATGCTGATGAAGGGGAAGAAAAGGGAGGACTCGCATAAACTGTCTGCAGCATCATTTGTTTTAGGTTGTTAATAAACCTTTGGCTACTATCACCCTCAGAACATATTTTCATTGCTGCTTGACCTACACTGTACTGTGCCTGTCTCATTTATTTTGAAGATGCATCTCATAACTTTGCTACTATCGTTTTGAAGCTGATCATCTTTGAGAGTGAATCTCCAATCAAATTAAATTTGGGGTCAGGGCTGTTATCAGGAGTCAGCATTGTCATGGCCATACTGGGATCCACTACTGAGCCCTAGAAACCATCCCCTGGCAAGCATTGCTGCTGCTACTTCTTACTGTTGCTGTATTTTCACCAGCCCCCTCCAAGTGTGCAAGCAGTGATGAGAACAAGGAAGAGGAGGAACATTAAAATGTCTTCATGAAAATACTTAGGCTAGAGCACTGTATTGCCCCAAATATAAGCCACATTTCCCCCCCAAATTCCGATTGTGAAAAGTTAAAGTGTTGCTTATATTAGCAACCTTACGGTATCACTGCTGAAACAGCTGCCCGGGTGGGCCATTGGGGGTGCGGGACAACGGTACGCCACCCGCCTGCGACTCCCAATTCTCCCCCGAGCTGTCAAAATGAAGGGGGATGGGGGGGGACTTAAGTGCTCCACATAACTGCATTAGTCTGCGAATTTTATTTCTTTTTAAGATCCTAGTGAAAATTTGTCAGCCATTAAGTGCAAGTTTCTCCTAGTATAAGCATTTGTATAGGCAATGTTGCCTGCTTTGTATATTTTGCAAAGTTCCTTGATGTAATACATTTTATGACTTACCGGTACTTTCTTTCACTAATCTACTCATTTTTATGCACCCCCCCCAAATATGGACATTTCTTTACAGATTTCTTGGTTGAAGAACCAAATCACAAAATTTGGTGAAGTGTGGATTTTGAAGCATAGCAGTGTTTGAGTTTGCATATTGTTTAAGAAAGTGTGAACTACCGTATGTTTCGCCCTATAGGACGCACTTTTCCCCCTCCAAAAATGAAGGGGAAATGTGTGTGCGTCCTATGGGGCAGGTCCCGTCAGGCTCCCTAGGCTTGCGGATAGCAGCCTGTTCTGGGGGCTGGGGTCGGGGGAAGCTCGGGCTTCCCCCGCCCCAGCCCCGTGCCTGGGGGGGGGGGGGGAAATAATTTTTTTTTCTTTATTCCCCCCCCCCAAAAAAACTAGGTGCGCCCTATGGGCCGATGCACCCTATAGGGCGAAAAATACAGTATGTAGGTTCACATAAAAATCTTAACCGGACTGGGCTTTTAGTTGTTATAGGACAATCCTTGGGCTCACTTGGATTACCAAAGAAAGACACCAGCCAGGGATATAGGAGCAAAACAGCAGCCTGTAGGCCTGATTTTTATTTTAAAGGACTGTTGCAACAGGACCACCCACCACATGGAAGAAGCAGGAAGAAACCCAGAACAAAGGGATGCTTCCTCTTTTATAAGTTTTCTCTTTTCCCATAAACATCTTTGGTGAAGCATCATGCAATCATGCATACATCATACATATGTCACAAACAGGGAGGGGTCTCTGGCAGAAACCGGTTCATCAGGTTATGACCCCAACTCTCTCTTGCGCTCCACCTTACCCCCATCAAGTGATACAAAGAAAATACTTACAAGTTCCTGGGTTTCCTGGTCAGGTAATAACACTTCTTTGTCCTTAATCCATTCTTGGATGGTTTGCTATTGTCCATGTGATGACCATCTGTCTGACACCCATCTGCTAGGATGCCAGTGATGATCTCTTGTGCAAGAGGTTGCTGAGTATGTGGTCTCAGGCTTGAGGGATAATGGCTGCCCACATCCCAGACTCCCCCATTGGTAGCCATTCCTTTCCTGAACAGAACAAAGTTGGAATGGTGCAAATCCATACTGGAGCGATATTATATGACTTTCTAAAGTTTTCCCAGTGAGGCCAGTACATAGATACATTTATCAGTCAATTGTTGCATTTGGTAATGTGGAGCGGAGGCCCTTTGAATAGAGATAGGAAAAAACTGTGATGAAGTGTTTTGTGGGGACATTTGCAGTAGTGATAGTATTGATTTTGGTAGTTGGGGTGTGTGTGTATGATGTCTGCTGGAGGGACACCCCCCCCCACACACAAACCCTTTACATAAATTCCTGTAACATAGTGTAACAGCTCCAGCTCTCTGAAATCGATTACCAGCTGAAATCAGGCATGCACCTAGTGTGAGAAAGTGTTTAGGTGCTTACCGAAGACATTTTATTTTAAAAGGTTTCCCCTGAGGTGTAACCCAATCATTTATGGAAGATCCATTGTATATTTGGTGAAACAGTTTCATTGTTTCTAGAGTTTTTATGAATGTTTTTATTGTTTTAGGGTTTGCTGGATGTATTTTATTGTTCTTAGAGCTTGTAATTCGGTGTTTTATTCTGTTTTTACTGCTTTATGCCATGCAGCAGTCTATAAATTTGTATGAAAATAAAAACATCATCCCCCTTCCCTACTCAGCATTGAAGAGAATGTAGGCATCCTTAGTTGCAGAAAACTCATTGAGAGCATCAGATACTTGCAGAGATTTGGACAGGGAAGATAATGTGGAATTACATGTTACTGTTGTCTGCATTTTTATTTTTAAGTAATACAGTGGTACCTTGGTTCTCAAACTGTTTTTTTTTAATAATCTTTATTACCGTAAGTCTTTTTATCATCAACATTTCAATCAAATAACCAAAAATACCACACACACCCCGTGACTTCCCTCAACATCCTCTTCTGGTTTTTTCTTTCATACTATCCTCTCCTGCTTATTTTAACATATCTTAATTTTTAAAATCTTTAAATTGTAATATCGTTATACTCTTCTCATTTTTACATCATCCTTATAAATCATAT